ATACCTTGTTTTATTGCTATCTCATGACAAAGCCCCTATAATTTTAAAAAAAAATTACAGCATAAAAAAATTCTTTTCCAATATTTTAATATGATACACACCTTATGAGAATTATGATCCACAAGTGCTCCTATTATATAAACTTTATTTTCATCTAATTGATTAATTACATTTTCAGAATCACTTGTTAAATAAACAAGAGAATCCTTATTAAATAAGTCAAGATAACTTTCTGAATGGAAAAACACATCCCACTTTTGGTAACCATTATGCTTTTCCATTTCTTTCATAGATAGACCATTAAAATTCACTACATAAAACTGCAATGGGTTTTTAGATCTCCTATTGTGGCTATAACACCTAAGAACTTGACTTATGCATTTGGCAATATCTTTAGAAGACATTAAATGATCAAAAGAAAAATCAAGAACCACCTTTTGTTTACAATTGCTTGTGGACATTTTTGAATTTTTTAATTCTTTTCTCGTAGGACCTAATTTAATATTTTTCTCCCTCGCTTCTTGCCTTTTTAATTTTAATTTGTGTTTTTCCTTTGCCCTAAAAATTATACGGATTACAAAAAAATTTTGGAAAAAGTAGTTTTTCAACTTAAAATATTACCTTTTTTCTGACAACAGAGACAACCATTTTTCTTTCTTTTTTAATCGTTTCAATTGTCTTTTCGATAATTTTTGTTCTGTATCAGTTGTAGTAGTATTCGAAGCAGGAGCAAATTCATTATCATCTTTAGCCGTAATTATTTCTTTTTCTAAGTTTGATAAATTAACATCAGTTACCAAATCCATTGTAACAGATTTCAATGTGTTAGAGGTTTAAAGTAGAAAGTTGTATTTAAAAAAATCTAATTCCACGTTAAAAAATTTGAAGTTTAGAGCAGTGAAACAATTTTAATAATGTGTGGCAATTATCTAGAATACATTCGTAGCGATGGATTAATTTTTTAAACTGACGTATCTATCATTTGCTCAAGTTTTAATTAAATATTTGATTCATATTAATTTTAAAATAGTTTTAATAATGTATTCAAAGTATTTTTTCATTATTCAAAAACACCTGTTAACTGTAATTTTTGTTTTTTGAAAAATTAACTAAAAATTCATTAAATAAAAAATAAAAATGCATGACCTTTTTACTCAAGTTCTTGGTAAAAAAGATTTGTCAAAGGTATGTCCTACAAAATTTTAAATTAAAAGTTTATGTTTAATGTAAATAATTATTAGTTTAGTTACCCTTTGTTTAAATCTTAAAACAGTTAAATGTTTTTCACAAAATGTTTATACAATTGATTAAAAACTAAAATTAATATATTTTATTTTTGAAATGCATGAATGAATTTTTTCATTAAAGAAATTCTTATTGTCAAAATGACTGATATATTTTTAATAATTTGACAAATTTATTGCAATTATATATATAAATATAGCTATAAAAAAAAATTTTTTTTCACAGGCTGGTGATTTATTCACTGTTAGTGATATTGAAATTTCAAATGATTTATCAGAAGTAATTAAAACCATATTGGACATAACATCAAATTCTGATTATGTTAACAATGACAATGATCAAAGTGTAGTAGAAATATGTATAACAAGAGTTACATCAGCAATAAGAGAAACAGGTAGTATGGAATCACATGCAGATGCTCTTGTTGAACTTTTACAAAATTGCCTTAATCATAGTTTAAAACCAACATCAAAAGATGAAGATCCACCACATGCCAAAATTGCTGCAGATATCATTTCTTGTATATTTTTAGCAAGTATTTTTTTTAATTTCTTAAATTTTACAACCTTTAACATTTTAATTACAGTAGTGGTTTTTGTCTAAATTTCATTTTTAATCTTTGATTTATATATTTTTAAAGAATTATAATAAAAAAGAAGTTATGAAAAAAGCACTGCCTGTAGCAGTTAAATTTCTTCACAAGGGTAACAAAGAACTAAGCAGAAATATGAGTTCTTATTTATCATTGGCTGCGATAGAAAATGCTGAACTACTTTCCCAACATATACAACTTATTATTGATAGCATAATATCAGGAAACTATACTTTAAGTCGAGTATTGCCTCAGGTATAAAACTACACATTTTTCAAATAAATACTTTAAAACTATTTGGTTTTAATTGAAAATATTATAATCAAGGTGTATGGAGTGGATAAAGATGCATTAGAAGAACATGTAATGGCATTGGTGTCTTTGCTTCCTTTGTGCAATGATTCAGAAAAATTGGCCCTGTTAAACTTATTTGCTCTAATTGCAAACAATAAACCTGCTGTGAGTGTAATTTTACTATTTAGTATTTTATTATTTTTTTTTGTATTAATTTTAAAAATGAGTGAAAATTTTTTTTATAGCTCTTAGAACTCAGTTTACATCAGTTGTGTGAATATTTAAATCTATGTTCAACCGCCCCCGTGGCCATGCAAATTTTTTTAAACGTAGCTGAAAAAAAACCTCAAAGTTTAATTGATCACTTGCCCAGAATAAAATTATGTGCAGACAGGTTTCCTAATACTTTGTGCTTAGCCGCTAAAGTCATTTCTTTGGTGGGTAAATTAAGCAAAGACAGAGCTGAAGATGCTTTAAATTTTGTATTGGAGCATCTGCAAAAAGCTGATCGCGGAAGTCAGGGAACTCTGTTAAAAGAAGCAACGTTGCTATGTTCAAGTTATCCAGTTTTATTTACGGAAAAAATGTTGGAAGAAGTTCGTCAAGTCGGTATTGCAAATGAAGAAAAAAATAGTAATAGTAATAGTGATAGTAGTAATAATAATTGTAACGCTGATAGTAATAGCCCTAATAAAAATGGACGTCACAATGAAAATGATAAAGAAAATGATAATATCAACAATAATAATAATAATAACATTAATAAAAACAGTAACGATAGTGATGAATCTCAAGTTAATCAAACATCCGGTAACGTAACGATTGTAAAGCTCGGAGGTGGCGGCAGTAATCAAGGGATAAAAGAACCAGAAAAACTAAATGATAACATTCGCTGCGGAGTAATTCGACCCAGGTCTACCGTCCGATTGGATAATTCTGTACCCCATCGAAGCATGACAAGACTTAACGTTGGAGGAAGCAGAGCAGGTTCGGTGGGAGGACTTCACAAGAGCATGACCAAATTAAACTCGAGTCAACAAATAAATTTACTAACCAACATTAAACCACTCGCAGCCATTTCCATACCAATGAAGCAATATAAAATTATTAGCGGAGGTGTAACGGTTACAACTTCGGTTGGTAATTCTAGCCCGACTAAAAGTATTATGTAAGTACTTGATAATTTTTTTTTTTTTTAAAAGGGGTTGATTATACTTGTAAAGGAAGAAAATTTATTTTCATCATTTAAGAGAAAGCAGTTCGGCACTAAAAGACGATAAAGAATCCAATATTTTGGCTTCATCGCAAAACAGTTCTGCAGCATTTTCAAAAGAAGGTATTTTTATTCAAAAATATTTGTCGGTAATTGTAATTTATGGAAAACGGTTCATGTTTTAAATAAAAATTTTCAGTGACGGAGAGACATTACTTGAAAAATTTTACCGGAAGAGCAAATAGCAACACTCCTCTTCAAAATTTTTCCAGTTCGACTAGCAGTACATCGCAACTAAATTGTGGCCTAGGTAAATACTAATTCAAGAGTAATTATTACGAGTTATTCTAAAAGTTTTAATTTACAAATAAATATATTTTGATTTTAGTAAGTTTATCACAACCCTCGACAACACTTAATCAATCGAATCCCGTAGTAGCGCAACGACGACATAACAATCAGTAGCATCACCATAATTAATAATAATCCCCCATCTTCACAAGTAAGTAATTTCATGACATTTCAATTTAAATATATATTTTAAAAAAATTAATTTTCTCTTTTTTTGTAAATTTAAATAGAGAATCAGCGTATTCGAACCATATCCCATGAGAGATACGGTCCAGCATTTTTGTGAAAAACATTTGGATAAAATTAAAGCTTACATGGAAAAAGTTTCGGTTAAAATTCCGCCTCCTGCTAAATGTACAATTGAAGGTAACTTACCTCCTACGTAACATGTTGTTTCCTCCCTGAAGATGAATAGATAGATGATGGTTTTGCCTTTTGCCAATTTAAGTTTAATTTTGTTTTTTTTTTTTTTTTTCCTTTCTGCTTCGCCGATGAATGAGAAGCGTTCTGTAAATAAATTTTTTATGATTAATTAATTATTGATAATTTAAACATCTAATTATTATTATTATTTGGGTATTAAAATAGTTTTTGTATGTAATTTTAGAAAAAAGAGCCAAAAAACTTGCCAAACTTCATTTTGCTTGTCAGGGAAGAGGAGAGCATTGTTTGTATAAAAGAACATTTTTTACAATGAAAACGAGAAATCCAAAAACTTGGATTCATCTTATGTTTCTCGCCTTACAAGTATGATATATAATTAATTAAAAAATTAATAATTAAATTTCTTTTTAAAAAATAAAATGTAAAAAAATTTTTTTTTTTTCAGGCTAGATCCCAATCGGCTTTGAGTTCCAGAGATTCATCCGTGTCCAGTTTGAAAATATGTTGGGATATTTTAAAATGTGAAAATAAAACATTTTTAACTTTGGTAACTTCTGCATTTCCATGTGCTAAAGATCAAGAAGCTATTCTCAATGAGTTAAGAGTGAGCGGGTTTCAAGATGTTTTCGAATGCGTTAGATCTTCTGCTGGACCCATGTGGGGATGTTTTTTATGCAATCCCCCGGAAAAAGCCGTTGGATTTTTGCAAGTAAATACACCCACACGCACGCATGCGCATGCGCATACATATATATATATATAAATTTTTTTTTTTTTAGGATTCTCATCCTGTTATCGAAGGTCAATTAAAAGAAAAAAAAGGAAAATGGAAAATATTTAAACGTTGGAGAACGAGATATTTCACACTTTCCGGAGCTCATTTGTCATATAAAGTTTCGGTAATTTATTTATTAATTAAATTCAATAAAATTATTTATTTATTAAAAAATGATTGTACTTACCCCTTAACAGAAAGATGACAAAGATGTTATACCGATCGAAGTAAATCAAATACGATCTGTGAAAGTGTCGAGAGGAGCTCGAAACATACCCAAAGCATTTGAAATATTCACCGGAGATCAAAGTCTCATATTGAAACCAAAAGGAGGTAAAAATGTTGAAGAATGGGTTCAGTGTCTCAGCATTGTTGTCGCACATTCACAATCGAAAGAACTTCCTGTAAAAAGTCACAGTCTTCCGGCAAGAACATTAATTTAGTAGTTAATAATTTAAAAAAAAAAAAAAAAAAATTTTAAGTACCTGGCCAACATCAAGGACTTGAGTGCCATTTTTATAAATAATAAATTGTACATTCCTTGATTTAAAAGCTCATAATTTTTTAAGACAAGTTTAATGTTGACCATCACAATGGAGTACTTAAATATATTTATGTACATATATATACATAATTTTTTTTACGTCATTTAACATTCCAATTATAAATTTTTTAGTTATAATAATAATAACAATTAGGAAGTCTGTAAAAAAAAAAAAAAAATCGAACGAACAAAAAAAAACAATTACGAACACAAAAAATATTTATAATATCTAAGAGGTTTTTTTTTTTTTTTCTATTATTTATTTATAATAATAATTAAGTATATATATATATTTTTTTTAAATAATAAATTTGTATTTAAGTTTTTTTTTTTTTTGTAAGAAATATCAATAATTGTATAATATATTTTTATGATATTAAAAAAATATAAATAATTTATTAAAAACGTTTTTTATAAATTTTAAACAGAAAATTATAATTTATTTATCATTTCCTGATTATTTTGCTCTCTCTTTCTCTCTATTGCCTGGATAAATAAATTTTATTAATAAATAAGATAAATGATAAATTTTTCCCTCCTGGATGGTGATCGATCACAAATATTAAATAATAATAATAATATACATATATATTAAAAAATTTATATAAAAATCAATAAAAACATAATTTTTTTGTATTTTTAGGTAAATAAAAAAATAATTAAAATAATTAACAAAATTAAAAATAAAGAAAAAATAGAAAAACTTTAATTTAAAAGCAAATTGAAAAAAATTTCAGTCGTCTTTTATTTATTTTTTAATATAATAATAATAATAATAATAATATGTAATAAATAATAAAAATAAAATTGTTGATATTCTTTTACATATAACAATTTCATTATTTTTATAAAATATTTATAATTTTTTTATTGCTAACTTAATTTAAATATAAAATAAAATGAGATTCATTAAATCAAAAAAAAAACAATATCAATTTTTTATTATTATTATTATTATTATTATTAAATTTTTTATGGAATTGTTTTGTAATAATAAATTCAAAAGAAAAAATAATAGAGTACAAAA